CTTGTGTATAGTATTAAATACTCTCTGTTGCTATAGAAATAATTACATTAGATTAAATTGGAGAGGGATTGTGAAGACCAAAGACCTTCAGAAAAATCATGTTGTATAATTGGTAAATGCACTACAAATAATTACCCAGAACAAGTAAGAGAGTAAATGATTTGTGTCTAGCTTGTTTAGTTGCACATTTTTGTTTGATAAAGTTTAATCTTCCCTTCAATATTGCTCAAGCAGTTAATGCTAATTTGAATTCTTTTTAAGGTTCTCATCTAGTTTTAAGTTTGAAACATGCTCGCATGGATAATTTACCTCCTATTAAATGAGGAGCCCCTTCATGGATCACTGCCCTGCTGTGGTGAAAGGGTTTGTGTAGTGCAATGAAGCTATGAGATATGCCATGCAGGGGCACCCAAGATGGGCAGGTCATAGCAGAGAGCTCTGACAAAAACTGATCCACTGGAGAAGGAAATGACAACCCACTCCAGTATCCTTGCCATGAAAACCCCAGGGACAGTATCAACAGGCAAAGAGATAAGACGTCGGAAGATGAGCCTCTCAGGTCAGAAGGTGTCCAATGTGCTACTGGGGAAGAGCAGAGGACTAGTACTAGTAGCGCCAGAAAGAATGAAGCGACTGGGTCAAAGCTGAAAGGATGCTCAGTTGTGGATCTATCTGGTAGTGAAAGAAAGGTCTGATGCTGTAAAGAACTATACTCCATAGGAACCTGGAATGTAAGATCTATGAATCAAGGTAAGCTGGACGTGGTCAAACATGAGATGACAAGACTTAACGTCAACATATTGGAAATCAGCAAACGAAAATGGACAGGAATAGGTGAATTTAATTCAGATGACCATCAGGTATACTACTGCGGGCAAGAATCCCTCAGAAGAAATGGAGTAGCCTAAATAGTCAATAAAAGAGGAGGAAAAGCAGTACTGGGATACAATCTTTGAAATGACAGAATAATATCAGTTTGAATCCAAGGCAAACCATTCAACATCACAGTAGTCCAAGTCTATGCCCCAACCACAGAGGCTGAAGTTGACCGGTTCTATGAAGGCCTACAACACCTTCTAGAAATAACACCAAAAATGATGTCCTTATCATCATGGGGGATTGGAATGCTAAAATAGGAAGCCAAAAGATAGCCAGAATAACAGGCAAGTTTGGCCTTGGACTACAAAATGAAGCAGGGCACAGGCTGGTAGAATTTTGTCAAGAGAATACGATGGTCAGAGCAAACAGTCTTTTCCAACAACCCAAGAGAAGACTCTACACATGGTCATCACCAGACGGTCAACAAAGAAATCAGACTGACTATGTGCTCTGCAGCCAAAGATGGAGAAGCTCTATACAGTCAGTTAAAACAAGACCAGGAGCTGACTGTGGCTCAGATCATGAGCTTCTTGTTGCAAAATTTAGGCTTAAATTGAAGAAAGTAGGGAAAAGCACTAGGCCACTCAGATATGACCTAAATCATATTCTTGATGAATATACAGTAGATGTGACAAATAAATATAAGGAATTAGATCTGATAGACAGAGTGCCTGAAGAACTATGGACGGAGGTTTGCAACATTGTACAAGAGGTAGCATCTAAAACCATCCCAAAGGAAAAGAAATGCAGAAAAGCAAAATGGCTGTCTGAGGAAGCTTTACAAATAGCTGAGGAAAGAAGGGACAGGAAAGGCAAGGGAGAAAGGAAAAGGTACACCTAATTGAATGCAGAATTCCAGAGAATAGCTAGAAGAGATAAGAAGGCCTTCTTAAATGAACAGTGCAAAGAAATAGAAGAAAACAATAGAATAGGGAGGACCAGAGATCTCTTCAAGAAAATTGGAGATATGAAGGGAAGATTTCATGCAAAGATGGGCATAATAAAGGACCAAAATGGTAGGGACCTAACAGAGGCAGAAGAGAATAAGAAGAGGTGGCAAGATTACCCAGAAGAACTATACAATAAATTGCTTAATATGCCTGATAACAACAATGGGGTGGTCACTGACCTTGAGCCAGACATCTTGGAATGTGAAGTCAAGTGGGCCTTAGGAAGTCTTAGCAACAACATAGTTAGTGAAGGAGACCGTATTCCAGCTGAGCTAAAAAAAAAAAAAAAAAAAAGGCAATGCAGAATCCTAAAAGACAGTGCAGTTAAAGTGCTACACTCAATATGCCAGGAAATTTGGAAAACTCAACAGTGGCCACAGGATTGGAAAAGGTCAGTTCACATTTCAATTCCAAAGAAGGACAGTGCCAAGAAATGTTCAAACTACTGCACCATTGCGCTCATTTCAAATGCTAGCAAAGTTCTGCTCAAAATCCTACAAGCTAGGCTCTAGCAGTATGTGAACCGAGAACTACCAGAAGTACAGACAGGATTTCAAAGAGGCAGAGGAACTAGAAATCAAATTGCCAACATAGCGCTGGATCATGGAGAAAGCTGGGGAGTTCCAGAAAAACATCTACTTCTGCTTCATTGACTATGCTAAAGCCTTTGATTGTGTGGATCACAACACATTGTGGCAAGTTCTTAAAGAGATGGGAGTCCCAGACCATCGTATTTTTCTCTTGAGAAACCTGTATGCAGGTCAAGAAGCAACAGTGAGAACTGGACATGGAACTACTGATTGGTTCAAAATTGGGAAAAGAGTACAGCAAGGCTGCATAGTGTCGCCCTGCCTATTTAACTTATATGCAGAGCATACCATGTGAAAGCTGGGGCTAGGTGAATCAGAAGTTGGAATTAAGATTGCCGGGAGAAATATCAACTTCAGATATGCAGATGATACCACTCTAATGGCAGAAAGTGAAGAGGAACTAAAGAGCCTCTTGATGCGGGTGAATGAGGAGAGCACAAAAGTTGGCTTGAAACTTGACATTAAGAAAACTAAGATCATGGTATCCGGTCCTATCACTTCCTGGCAAATAGATGGGGAAGAAATGGAGGTAGTGACAGATTTTATTTTCCTGGGCTCCAAGATCACCGCAAATGGTGAGTGCAGCCAAGAAATTAAAAGACGCTTGCTCCTTGGGAGGAAAGCTATGGCAAATCTGGATGGCATACTAAAAAGCAGAGACATCACCCTGCTGACAAAAGTTTGTATAGTCAAGGCTGTGGTTTTCCCAGTTGTAATGTATGGCTGTGAAAGTTGGACCATAAGGAAGGCTTAGCGCCGAAGAATTGAGGCCTTTGAATTGTGGTGCTGGAGGAGACTCCTGCGAGTCCCTTGGATGGCACGGCTATCAAACCAGTCAGTCCTAGAGGAGATCAGCCCTGACTGCTCATTAGAAGGCCAGGCACTGAAGATGAAAATCAAATACTTTGGCTACCTAATGAGAAGGAAGGACTCACTGGAGAAGAGCCTAATGCTGGGAAGAATTGATGGCAAAAGAAGAAGGGGGCGGCAGAGAATGAGGTGGCTGGATGGAGTCACTGAAGCAGTTGGTGTGAGCTTAAGTGGACTCTGGGGGATGGTGGAGGATAGGAGAGCCTGGAGGAAAGTTGTCCATGGGGTCACAATGGGTTGGGCATGACTTTGCGAATAACATAACATAACATAACATAAAAGTGGAGAGCATGTATCTCTCCAGTTGTTGGTAGACTGCAACTTCCATCCACTGCTGAGATTTCTATGTGATGCTGTAGTCTCTGGCTGTGGTGTCCCTCAGGGTTCCACCTTATCCCCCATGCTATTTCATGTATATGAAACCACTGGAACAGCTTGTCCAGAGTTTGGGGGTTCAGTGCATTAGGGCAAACAAATTGAAATTTAATCCAGTCAAGACAGAGTTGCTTCTGGTTAGTCAAGAGCTGATCAGGGAATAGGACTCAAGCTTTCCTGGAAGGGGTTACTTCCTCCCTGAAGTCTCAGGTTTGCAATTTGGGTGTACTCCTGGGGTCAGCCCTGAACTTGGATGCTCAGCTTTCAGTGGTAGCCAAGAGCAGCTGAGGCTAGTTTGCCAACTGCATCCATTACTAGAGATGTTTGATCTGGCCATGTCCATACACGCCTTAGTCACATCCCATTTGGACTATTGTAACATGCTGTATGTGGAGATGCCCTTGTACACTGTTTGGAAGCTTCAACTTTTCCAGAGTGCTGTGGCCAAATTGTTGTCTGGTGCTAATTACATGGAGCAACTATAATAGACAATTTAGTATAGACATATTATTATAAAAGCTTCACCATATACCCTTCTTTTTATGGGCATAATTCAAATATTTGTTGTATGCGATATAGCCCCATACTGGTCTGAATAACTGCCTTCTTCCATATGACCCTGTCTGGGTTGCACTTCTTCGGGAAATGCCCTTTTTTAAAGACTGCTACCTGCAGTGGCATGTTTGGTGGCAATACACAAGTGGGTCTTTTCAGCCACCTCTCATAGGCCGTGGCATTGGCTCCCTCTCTGTTGTCTTTCCATGACAGCAGACCTCTGGTGCATAAGATGATCTGCTGATTTGGATGCTATCTTTATTCTGTTGCTGTTGTGTTTTAATTGTATTGTAATGCTTTTATTTTATTGTTATTTTAATCTAATTCTATTTATTTCATTTTAAGCCATCTTGAGTGTGCTTTCTCTTGGAAGAAAGGCAAAAGACAAATAAAAGAAACTAATCGGTCACGTTGCATGTAGCACTTGGGGTGCAGTTGGCCATAGATAAATCATTCTCTCAGCTTCAGCATTCCTATCTCCCATCTGCAACACAAGGATAATACTGCTGACCTCTCTTACAGACCCGTTGTAAGGATCACAAGGACATGTACTGAGTGTTTCTGAGTACTTAAAATACTCAATAAAGGCTAAGCATTATTGTAACAGAACAATATTGTACCTTAATCACCTATTTAAAATTGGCAAAGCAGCTAAAAATCAAAGCAAACAAATGCATTGCAGAGGACAGAGCAAAGTATACAAAAATGATGCTACCATGTTTCTTGCATTCTTGGACATATTAAACTAATCATTACAAACCGTGCAACTGTACTTTCACAGTGATGAACAAATGCAAGGAGCCTCCCTAGGCCGCAAAGATTTCTGGAGAAAGATGTTCAAATCACAGAGTGCAGCAAGTGATACTAGCAGCCAATCTGAGCCTGATACCTCAGAATGCACAACTGCGCACTCAGGGACAACCACTGAGAGGAGATCTCGCTCCCGCTCAAGACGGATCTCACTCCGAAAGAAACTCAAACTCCCCTTAGGTAATTCATGTGTGCCTCTTTCTTGAAGTATTATATAACATTAAGCATTTTCATATTTTTTCATGGGTTGGTAGGTGGACAAAGATCTTCAAAAAAATGTTCTGCTCAGATTTCAACAGCACTAAAAGAATATATAATATTCAGCCTTCCTTCACACTGATTAATGTCTTTTTCAATCCAAAATTAAGGGTTTTTTCCCCACTGGTGGATTCAGACAGATGCTCACATCTTTGTTCTGTGCTTAACAGGGAACTGGCTGAAACGCTCATCCCTTTCTGGCCTTGCAGATGGTGTAGAAGACCTTCTGGATATAAGCTCAGTAGACCGACTCTCTTTCATCAGGCAGAGTTCCAAGGTAGATAAATTGCCTCAGGCTGGTAGGAAGATGTGGTGTGGAGATGTACATGTAGTGTTTTAAAAATGTCCATGTTGTGCTTCCATAGAAAATAAGAGTAGCAATAGCAGTTGAATAGACCTGAAGATGAAATTACCAAGAATGGTGATTTTGGGAGTTAGACAGCAGCCTTTTTCTATGTCACACTCTATGTGAAAGATCAGAAACAATCAGACTGATACTGAATTACTTCTTTTAGAAAGGTATCCTGTATTTGTTCAAAGTTAGCGCTATGCACAGTATAATTTCCATTTATTCGTGTCCTATGCTTAAGGGTAGGTTGGATAGCAGAATGTCCTTGCTTCATTACTTTTCAGATGTTATGGAAGCCTGCATTTCACTATTACAAAGAGTCATGGCTTTCTTTTATGAAAGTTGTTGGGAAGAAGAAAATACACAATATTCTTTTTAATAGGGGTGGGTAACTAATGGTGCTACAGTTTCCATCAGACCTGACCGGTAGAGCCAGTGGTGAGGGATGATGGATGTTCTAGGGCAAAACATCTGAAGGACCACAAATTGCCCACTTTTGCTAGGTTATGAAACAGAGATACCCCTTGTGGGTACTGTGTTTAGCCAAAGGCAACAGTGCCTTTTGCTTTTGGGACTCTTTACTGTCCACACGTTAGCAGCAAGACAAGACCAAGGGCTATAATAAGTTTCACTGTTTGGGGGAAACACAGGAGACTGCACTTAGAATATTGTGTCCAGTTATGGTCACCTCACCTGAATAAGGACATTATTGAATTGGAAAAAGTACAGAGAAGGGCAACAAAATGTTCAGGAGGCTGAGAAGCTCCCCTATGAGGAGCGGCTGGAACAAATGGGACTGTTCAGCTAGGAAAAAAGGTGAATGGTGATGGAGGGGTTTAAAATTGTGTACGGAGTGAAGAAAATGGAGAGGGAGATGTTCTTCTCCCTCTTCTATAACACTTGAACCTGGGATCTCAAAGAACTGATTGCAAGAAGATTTAGGACAGACAGGAGGAAGTACTTCTTTACACAGTGGATAGTTGAACTATGGAATTCACTGCCATGGAAAATAGTGAAGGACATCAATCTGGATGGCTTTAAAAAGGGATTGGACAGATTTATGGAAGAAGAGGCGATTAGCAGCTACTAGCATTACTGGTTATGTGCTACTACCTTTGCAGAGGTGGCCTGCCTGCATACACCAGTTGCTGAGGAGCTTGGGCAGGTGGAGGTCTTACCCCATCCTGCTTGAGGGATCCTATTGGCTGCTGTCTTGCCACTGTGTGTTTGGGATGCTGAACTAGATGGACCTTTGGTCTGAGCCAGCATGGCTTTTCTAAAAGTCATGTTCTTAAAGCCTTTTCATGTGGAACTCCACAGACAGGCCTGTGGTGGTAATGGTGTCCTCAGATAGGCCTGTCCTGCATAGTGCAAGTTCATAACAATATAGGTAATTTTCTAGTTTAAGTCAAACACCTTAATGTGAGCCCAGAAAACAATTGGCCTTTTATGGAAGAGGGTAGTTTGGCCTTGCCTACAATGGTCTAGATCAGGGGTCAGCAACCCGCAGCTCCGGAGCCGCATATGGTTCTTTCATCCCTCTGCTGCAGCTCCCTGTTGCTCAAAATATGCGTCACAACCGCCAATGTGAGACACTCACCGGCACACAATTTATTGAGCTTTTGGACCCCCAGTAGGCCAACCATGGATAAATCCAGTAAAATAAATGTTTCAGAAGAAAACAGAACATTTAATGGTATGTGGGCAGATTCATTTGCTTTCACTGCTGACGAGACTGGTTTACCAGTATGCTTAGTATGGAGTGAAAAACTGGCAAATAACAAAAAGTCGAATGTTGCAAGACATTTCCAGAATAAACACACAGCCTTTGCTGAAAAATATCTGGAGATGAGAGAAAAAAAGCCATTTCAGAAATGATGCGAAAGGTTGATCTGAGCAAAAATCATAATTTAAGTTCGGCTTTTTATTTCATAAATACGAGGCTCAAATAGACATTGAGTATTTTATTTGAAAGTAACCTTCAACCCAGCATCTTTTTTTTCGGAGTTCAAAATGTTTTTGTTGCATGCAGAAATTGTTTTCTCTGTAGCAGTTCATTGATTGTAGCAGTTTTTTTATACATAGCGTAAAGGTGAAGTCCTTTTTATTTTCTCAGGCTTTTTAGCTCTTTTATATTCACATGCTTTTAGGTATTTGTACTGTTGCTGGCTTTTGGTTTTGATATTTTAGTTTTATTCTGGTTTACACTTAGGTTTTTTATGTTATGTTTTATGTTTGCTTATGACTAGGTTTTTTTCAACTATCTGAATCATGCTATAAATTAATAAATATTGCTCTACCTCTTGGCTTTCTTCTGAGGATGAGCAGGGTGTGTGTTACAAATGGCAGATGGGCATTCCACTTTCACTACTGGGCACTTCAGTAATAGTTGTAGTTGTAGTTTGATTTGTGAGTACTTTCTAGGGCAGTGGAAGCTTCTTATAATCTGTTTCCTGTTGGCTGCCAGAGCCATGTAAACCTTAAACCTATACCTTTGGTGGAGAACTTTCACCACTATTTTATATATTTATAAAACCTGCTTGGAGTTCTAGAGCCAACAGACTGCCTTCTTCTCCACATTTGGGGTACAATTTAGGGAAGGCTTGGTGGGTAGCTGTAGGAACTTGTCAATGTTTTCCTAAGCAACTGAGTGAGAAAACTGGAGAGGATTCCTTTGTTCTTTGTTTAGCCGGCTTATTTTTCCCTCCTTGGTGGCTAATTTTCCTCAGGAGAATTAACTATTAAGGAAAGAGATAAACATAGTTAAACAACCAAAGAAAGCTGGCCAGTAACTCCTCCTTCTTTGCTTGTTTGACTGTTATTTCCCAGCTTGGTTGCTCTTCTGTAGGCATGTGTGTTCAAACTTTTGTGTTTACAAGAATGGAGAGTATGTTACTTGAAAAAGGGCATATTAACAATGAATGATGCACCCTCTTTTGTTAAGGTGAAATTCAATAGTGCAGTGAAGCTGTCAGAAGGAGGTCCAGGAAGTGGCCTGGAGAATGGGCGTGATGAAGAGGAGAATTTCTTCAAGCGGCTTGGTAAATGGCGCACCTGCCGAAGACATCCATCCAAGCTTCATCACACAGAAGAAAAAGATGGTTAGAAATCAGGGTTCTGTTTCTTCAGTCCTTTTAATTTTAACTCTTCCTTTGTTCCTTCTTTAATTTACTTACCCTCCTCCTTTAATTTATCCTCTATCCTTTAAAAAGATGGATTTAGTACCCCTTCAGTTTCACTCTTACTTTCTCTCTGGCTCTGTATACTTTATAGCCATTTTCTCCTTAAGCCATTTGATTTCAATGTCATTCTAGCCAAGAAGGAAAAGCACATATAGGCCAATAAATTAAAAGTAAGTAACATTTGGACTTCCCAAAATAAAATCCACAACTTGGAGAAATTATTTGAAGGCAAATATCTAATTTCAAACATATTATGCTAATATTTAATTTCACTCCTTGATGGAAATGCCCACTAGCTTTTATTCTCCATTATTGATCATCTACCATTTTCTGTAAAATTCAGCACTGATGAAATGGAAAACCCTGTACAAAATGTGTTTTAATTATCTCTTTTCTTCTGTGTTTGCTTGTCTTGTGTCTTCATACCATTTCTTAGAGAGATGCTGTCTCTTTAATACTATTAATAATAACATTAAGGATAATTATCTGAGGCATACATTTAATTGTTTTGTTGTTTTTAAACAGTGGCATTTGAGAAGAAAATGTGTTCCTTTCTATAAAAAAGGGATAGGAATTATATGCTTTCAAGTGCTTCAGAGCCATCCAGTTGCAGATGTGAACTCCTTGTTACCAAGGCAACATCCTTGCATCTTGACATTCTCCTATTTTTATACTGATAAAGGAACACAGCATCCCATCTCAATGGATTTTGTTCTCTTTGTACTTTTCATAGCACTCTAGAAGATCTGACATTACCTACTGCATTGTCAAACATAGTAGTAACATTATTACATCAGTGTATATATCCTTTAGCCGTTGCACCATCATGCAATACATTTCCATACAAAGAGGAGTGCTGTACTAAATAAAGTCATGTCATTATTGCTTTCCAATACTATTTTAATAAAAATACAAGATGGGCTCTTTTTAGCTGAAAGTACTTTCTTCATTGTGCCCAGTAGAATACAAAACAAACAAAGGCCTGTTGCTGCATGTGAATTTATTATTTAGAATCTGATATTTGTGTTAAAGTAATGCATGGCCAGGGCTTGCAGTGTAACAGATTTAAGTGACAAAGCTCAAATTTTAGATCCTAAATTATGATGCAAGCATCTGAATTTTTAAATAACATTCAACTTCTAAGTGATAGCATTTATAATTCAATTCAGGGTTGAATGGGAATTTGAACAGTTCAATTTTAACAGAAACATAATTGTGTTATCATTCAATGAAATTGTGATAATATATAGTTTTTTCAGAAAGAAATTATTCCTCCCAAGTTCTTTTCTGACAAGGCCTGGATTTTCAAAAGCATTTCTACTGAGTCAGTAATTCATGAATATATATTCTATAACACTTTCCCTTTTCCTTCCTCTGTGGTACCAAAGTTAATATAAATGAGCACTGCACTCGAGAACTCACTCAAGAAAGGTGAGAAAGCAGATTCAATAAAGGGTTGAGAGGATGATTCCACCTTTTCATTTGTTAGTAAAGTGACTGCATTATTATTAAGTGTGCATAGTATTGCTCTGAATTCATTTTCTTGGTCACTCACAGAAGAGTCTGGCAGAATATCGGGACAGTGGGATGGATGGTTGAAAACTAGCTTAGGCAGCTAGCTCTATCCTTTTTTAAAAGATGGCCTTTTTAAAAAAATGAAGGAGGAGGGACAGGGACGTGCTATCCAGACCCACTCTCCACCCATAACCTCTCTGCATTGACATGGAAGGTCTGAAAAAGAACTGCAAGTTGCAACCATATTCAGCTCAATATGATTACATTGCTGCACACAACAGGGAAATCTCTGCAGTCCCTGATATTGCAACATTTTGTTCAGCATCCTCTGAAATGGCTACTCTTCACAGTCTGCTTACTACCTGTACAGTGAGAATTTTTTGCTACATATCCACCAATAAGAGTGTACTCATCTAGAAAATGACTGTGAAAAAGAATTCAGTAGACCAGTTGCAAAGCCTGAGCACAGTTGAGAGTAAATTCTATTGACATAATTGGGCCTTACCCCAAGGAAATTTGTGTCTTTGAGTATTGTGGAGGCTCATGGTCTGATCCTATAATGCTCTTGCACACACTTGAATCCTAGATTGCATTACATGCTCCTGATCCTCAGACTTAAGTAAAGTCAATCAATGCAGCTAAATTTAGTCTCACTTGAAAGCAGTGGGATGACATATTCCACTGGTTCAATGGGACTTAGTCATGTCTACTGGTTTTAGGTGATCTGCACTTCTTGAAGCTAGACTCTGTACGCTTCCTCCAGGTTTGGAAAAATATTGCAGTAACAATACTGTCCTAGTGCTTTCACCATTTTGCTTCCTGACATGCTACAGCCATTGCAAATAGTGCACCAGTCAGTATGTATCCTCCCTCACCCATTTTCTTCACTACTAGCTGAGATGAAACATCTCAAAGTTCACAGATAGCACTGTGCTCATGGAAGATCTTCATGCATGTCTCTATCCTTATGTTAGGCTTGGCGGAAAAGTAGGAACCACATATGCCAGGAGTTTCTGAGAGCCCATTTTATGCTTAAATTCTTGTGGGGCCCTTCTCTTTCCCCTCTCTCCCACCACCCCCTTTTCTATTCTCTTTTAAGGTTGTCAGACCTATGATGATCATCTGGCTTCCAACCAGGAGGGGAGTAAATCCAAGAACATTGTGAATCTGGGAGCAATACGACAAGGCATGAGGCGCTTTCAGTTTCTCTTAAACTGTTGCGAGCCAGGGACAATCCCTGATGCCTCAATTCTGGCAGCTGCCCTGGATCTTGTAAGTCACCACATGAATGCTCACATACACTGTTTGCAACAAGTAATCCAATGATGCATAAACCAAGACATGCTAAAGCATCATTACTTGTGCAGACTGGCAGAATGGGGATGGGGGAAGGGAAAAAGGAAAGAATAATAGAACTGCCAAGAGGGTTTGTTGTTGTTGTGGCCCATCTTTAACTATTCATATGGGTAAAATATTAGTTTTACTAGATTTATGCTGCATCTAATGAAAAGTGTTATTTTATTATTTGGATTTTTTAAGGCTCCACATTTCACAACTCCTATAAGGAATACTTTGTGAATGTATGATAAAAGTAACAGTCACATATATTCCTCTGACTACTGTAATTCCATGAAGAAATTCATCTGATGCTATAACTAATTAAAGCAAACCAGAATTGTAGTTATTCACTGGGATTGGGCAAGTCTTCAAAGCATATTCATTTATGGTTTATTTATAGTAGGGTGATTTGTGGATCCAAGCCTAGCATAGACAATGATCCAATCTGTGCAGTTGCTCAAACTACTTTATGCTTCTTGCTTTCCTCTCATCTCATCCAAAAAGTTATTTTGTAGTTAAAATCTTTTGTGTTGCATGGCATGTATTTATAGGTGTTTCTACTTATGCACACATATTTACAATTCACTAGCATCAACAGCTTCATTTGGGCTCTTTTGCTTATTTCCTTGAGTCAGTTTCTATTAGGCAGCAGCCAACTTTAGCTGCCCTTGGGAAAGTACATGAAAAAAGATGCCCGAACTCTTATTTTTTCAGGCATCCTCCCACACAATTTTGTGCAGCATGATTTCCTGTCCCCCATACCTGCCTGCTTTTCCTACATGTTTCACTGTGGCAGTCAGGGGAGTTAGTGCTCTGAAAGCTCAACCTTTTTGCATAGTGCAATCAGTGCTGTCTCTTTCCTTACTACCCCAACTATTTTAAACTAATGTTGAAAGATTTTAGGACAAATGTTCCTGGAATACAGTTCTTAGGTAAGAAAACCAGACACATTTTTTACTATGCTTTATTTATGAATGCATGCTGACATTTATAAAATTGTTTCCATTTTCCATCTCTGATCCCAAAGCCACATGCCTTCTTCCACACAGATGTTAACAGGGCCTTCAGGAGTAGAATATATTGTCTTTATCCAGCCAAACAATCGCTACACCACTGCTCAACCCTTATTTCCCTGGGCTTGGCACAGACTTCTAATATATTCCCTCCCATTCCTTGCCTCATTAAAGGCATTGTCTGTTTCAAAAAACAGGGATTGATGGGTATCCTTTAGCTTCTTAAGGTCTCGGGTTTATATTTATAGTCAGACATGGCAGTAGGTGACACAAACACAAATGCAGTTTAGACACTGTCTCCTTTCTGTGGAATCTAGTACCACTTCTAACCATTCTGGTGACAGGAGCTCATCTCATGTCACTTTGGGGTCTGAAAATCTTACCAGCAGCTCCAGTTCACTTTACTCTGGAAATCTCAGTCATTGGCTCTTGCCCCTCCCTCTTGATTGCAGCCAGATTCTGCATCCTGTCGGCTTCTTTTGTCTGTACGAGGAAATGCAGGCAGGTACTAAGGAACTATGGGGTTTGTAGTTTACAGGAGAGCAGGTTGTTTAGCAACCTTCACAGGCTGGTGTGTGCCATATAGTCAAAACTACAACTCCTAGGGTTCCTATCTCTTGACTGTGTTGGCTGGGGCTCATAGAAACTGAAGCCCCAAACATCTGCAGGGCACCAGGTTGGTGGGGACCCTTCTATAGGGAGGAAAATATGTTTGTTGCTCAAAGTACAAGTCTTAGCCTGGAGTTTCTGTTAAAGGCATTCTCTGCACCTGAGCCAGCAGATCATTGTTCAGAGTGCTGTGTTTTGCTCTTATAGTGCTTCTGTTTGTCTCCAGCAAATGCTGCAAATCTTACAAGACCTTATCGGGGCTGGACACCCCATAAATTTGTACAAACACCCTCAAGCAGGATCTACAATTTAACCTCAAATTTTCCCTCATGATAATTGGCTCCCCACTTCCATTCATGGGCCTGTCCTGAACCTTTGTTGTAAGTGTTGAACTTATTGCAAAGCTTTGTAGGATCATGTGAAGCACTGTGATGGAAGGTGGGGGTTGCCTTTAGTGTTTTTTGGTTTTGTTACCATATTTAAAAATCATAGCACAAATATAGTAATGGAAGAAACACAGGGGCCATTTTGTAAACAGAAATTCCAAAGGAAGTGTCCATCTTGTTAGAATTTTGCAGCCATGTTTTGCTTTTTTTCTGTTGACAGTGAAAGTGGTAACTTGTGGTTCTTTTCAGCAATGCATCTCCTGGCTGATTCATTTCTCTTCATTTGTGATGTGTTTCTCTGTGGTGTGAATTCATCCTTATCCATTCTGTCACACATCTTCATCTTTCTCTTGCTGCTGCTTCAGATTGCTCTGGGGATAAGGTAAGCTATTGCAGGGTATTTGCATAATACTCTGACCTTCAGCATGTTAACTCTGAGTATAATGTTTATAACATTTGCTTTATATTTAGAATGAGTCAATAGGAATTTACATAATGAATCCTTCTTGTCTGAGAGAAAGCTTTAAGAATAAGGTTATGCTGGAAACCATTGTGCAGACAAGTATGAAGGACTCATGTTGCCCGGCAACCAATCCCTCTTCAGCAACTTGTGGACATGCTGCACATTCCAGTTCAAAACATCCGTGCCACTTTCTTTAGAAAGAGCAGCCTCAGAGCCTCCAATCTAGACTGGGAACCATGGTGGTGGTGCTGGTGTTCTTATCCTTGGAATCCTGGCTTCCCTGTTTTGCTGCAAAAAATCATTCCACAAAGCTATTTCTGTCTAACGAGCTTGGACAGATTGAAGCACTTTTAGGCCCTTTATCACTATGTATATCTTTGCTCCTCCAAGATATTCAGTCCCTGATCTAAGAGAAATAAAGGGTATGCTACATTCCTAACCAACTCCCACCCAGCACATTGAATGTACACTACTCCTAGAGTGCTTTCTGCAATTATCTTGGAAAATCTTGCTGTAGGCCCTGCCTTGTTTGATGAGAGCATGTAGTGAGACCTCTGTGCTGTTGTGCCCAGGAGAGTCTCCTGCTTCAGGACATTCATTTGACACCCTTCATTTTGACTTTCCGGCTAAAAACTCTTTGGCCTCTTGCCTGGGTTTGGTCTCCAGACAAGAGATTATCTGATTGTACTTTGTTGATATTTGCTTGACATTATCTGCTCTCATATTTTCCATTTTCTTATTAATATAAAAACATCATTGATTCTGAAATAGCCCCTCTATTTGATCTCCCTGCCACCCCCCCCCAATAATATCATATACCTATACACACATGTTTCTTTATCAAGGCCCTGGAGAAATAGCTGGGGCTAAATCAGATGTGCATGCGTGCGTGCATGTGTGCGCGCGCTTACTAAACATGCTTGCCCAATTGACTCTAAAGTGGGATGGTGCAGGTTAAGATTTTATATGAAATGAACATACAATGGAGAAGAAGAAATCTCACCCACTCCTCATCTTTCCTTACCATTGTCCCACTGTTTTAACCTGTTTTTCTGATGCTGGAGGTGAGCTGGGAGGGAGAAAACAGCACAAAATAGCAAATTCAGCAAGGTAAGGCCAGGAGGATGGCAGGTATCATTTTCCCTCCTTCTAATATAATACAGCAAGTTGGTTCCCACATTTCTTCTTTATAATCAAACAGACAAGCACTTGTTTAAAACAGACTCTTGTGTCACTTTAAAGTGACATAAATTGACATATGCTTCTATGGACTGGAGTTCACTTCATCAGATAAATGGGAGATGAAATTACAGCTCATGTTATCAGAGTCTGATGAACCAAGATGCTTGAAACATCCCCACAATTGTCTATGTATTGCCACCACTTAATTTTAATGTGATGAGCTTGGGGGAAGATGTTCTTTATATAATTCATGTGTTGGAGGCAGCAGTTTCTGTTGGAGAAATTGTGCAGAGATTCTTATTGCAATCATATGCTTGCATAGGCTTGCCACTAAGCATAGCTTTTCAGATTGAAGAGGAATAATATAAAATTCTTAGATAGAAATAACTCCTACAATTCCCAGCAACTCTTCTTCTTTTCTGCCTAAATGTGCATAAAATAGTGCATGTCTACAATGTTTTAAATAACTTACATGTAATTTTTAAAGTCTTCTTGCCAGAGTAGTTAGACTCAAAGAAAATGATTTGCTTGTGGATGAAGGGCATTAGTTTGAAGTTTTAGTGAGCGTGCATTAACAGGAACAACCCTCTTCCCCCCCCCACCCCATACATGGCATGTGTCTATTCTTGCTTGTCATTGCTTCCATTTGATCCAGTTGAGAACTTAGGGAACCTGGTTGTGAGTTGAGCAGATGCTTGCTCCTAAGTGAGAAAGACAGTACCTGTACTAGGACTTATTTTTGTCCTATGTTTTAAAGAGAGAAAAAGGCATAAGGCTCAATCCTATGGCTTCCCATCACCATTGTGGAGGGGCATGTTTTTCAGGGTCCCAACTTTGAGGCCCTGCAACCTCAGTACTGTGACTCTGAAAACCAAGCCCCTGTTTGAGCTGCTTTGCAGAAATAACCACTCTGGCTGCCTCTATGAGGTTGCAAATCAGCCTCAGAAAGGAGTAAAAGGTGAGGAAGGTTAAAACTGGGGCTGGCAGCTTATGCCATATCCAGACGGCTTCCTTTCCCGCCCCCTTTGCACTGGGAGTTCATCGGGACGGCCAAAACTGACCAACTTGATCAAATGCAGGGCACAAGATGCAGCACATTGCACTGGGCATTGGATGCACATAAATAAGCCTTCAAGTTTGGAAGCTTAGGTGCAGCGAGGGCGGGGATGATAGGATCACACTGTTAGAAGCATGTCATGCCACCAACTCAAAATATTATATTGGTGTTTGGATCACAAATCTAATATCAAAAATAAAATTTTAACATATACAAACCTGCTTCTTCTTGCTAAGTGGTAAAGTAGCGTGATAAACATAAGTGATATGTGATAACTACCTCATTAAAATTGTCTTGTAGCAGAATATGCTGCATTAACCAGAAGTAGCCAAAGAAATACAGATCTACATAAAATGTTCTGTAACACTAAATATTTTGGCACCCTGTTATTTCAGGATTGTTAATGACATTTTGCTAACATATTCTAGGAAGCACCAGTAGTGGCAAGAGCAGCCCTTTTCCTGGAATGTGCCCGCTTTGTTCACCGCTGTAACCGTGGCAACTGGCCAGAATGGATGAAGGGACACCACGTGAATATCACTAAAAAGGGCCTTTCCCGTGGGCGCTCCCCAATAGTGGGGAATAAACGGAATCAGAAGTTACAGTGGAATGCAGCCAAACTCTTCTACCAGTGGGGAGATGTATGTTTCTGTTCTTTTGTTCATTTATCAGCATTAAACAGCAGCATTTGTATTCAGTTGTATCAATCTACAGCCTAATCAGAAAGAAGCTACATAGTGGAACTTGGAAAATCGATATTGTCAGTGTTCCACTAGTCACTATGTTTTAAAATATTTATTATATTATAATACATAAATATGTTATAAAGTGCAATAAACCATTTCTGACCTCTGTCTACCTGGACACTATAATCAAATTCTGGGGTCTCTCTCTGATTGCCATCTCTAATGGAGGCTTGGATGGTGGCAACAAGGTGAAGAGCCTTTTCAGTGGTGGCCCCCCAGTTATGGAATGAGCTCCCCACTGAGGCCCACCTAGCTCCAACTTTAATATCTTCTCAGTGCCAGGTAAAGACTGTCCCCTACTGCTGGGCATTCAATTAATTATTGGGCTCTACTGGTTGTTAAATAGTGTTTAACAGAGTTTTTTCAATGTATATTTTTTGTTTTTATTTGGTTTTAAATTTTGTATTGTTAACTTTTATGATGTAATATATTTTACTTGGTATATTTTATATTGTTTTAAAATATGCTGCTTGAACTGCTCAGAAAGCATCGACTGTTGAGAGCTATAGAAATTAAGTAAATAAAAAGCAAATAATCAGCCAGATCAAGCATGCTCAGAAAATACTTTTTAGCTCAGCTACCTAGTATTTCATTAGACAAGAGGAAAAAGCAGTGTAATAAAAAGGTGACAAATTTCACATCAGATTAGAACACTGAAAAAATGTTTATATGTTAGTATCTGAGTACCATGTAGCCTTCAAAAAGTCAATAAAGGGGCACGAGAAATTAGAAGAACAGCTTATCTTTTGCCTGTCATCACTTAAATGGATATAGTCTGTTAGCACAACTTTCCAAACTTGACATCACCATTCATTTAATGTTGGCATTGTATTACTTCTCCATTTTCATGCAATCAAAATTCTAGCAACAGTCATTAAGTTCTGAACCATATCTTTATGCAAAGGATCTTTTTTATCTACATAACGAACCAAGAGTGCTAGAAGCTTACAGGATAAAGAAATGTGTACAGTTAGTTTGACACATATACCCTTTTCCCAATAGTAATTAATTAGATGGCATTTCCACCACATTAATTTTGTAGTTTTTACGTCACCAATGCCCATCTTTACAGATCCTATAGATGTGACTTATTTAATTCAGCCTCAGACAGTATTGGTATAGTATTCTACAGTTTGTTCTTTTTCATAATAATTCAGGGTGAAAATACCCTGAGAATATTTTCTCTAGCTGTTGTTTAGCAGCTATAGGATTGTTCTATTCCCTAATGTTCCTAAAATCCAGTAAATTGACCTGCCATTTATTTAGTAGTGATGATGATGATTTTCATTTCTATACATCTCAGTAGCCAAAACTCTTTGGGCAGTTTTCAACCATTCATAGTATGGGGCCATAATGTAATACATTCCATTAAAAATCCAAAATGCAATATTTAAAGACAGTTTAGTAGCTAAAACAATGTGATATACAGTCAATATGTTAAAGCATCTGACATAATATACCTTCAAGCCATTAAGTATCATTGGATGTCTTTAAATGCTTTGGCACAGAAGGCTGCCTTATTCTGGTGCCAAACGGATAACAGATGGGCCTCAGTGAGGAGATCCTTCTGCAGCCAGGGGCTCACCACTGAGAAGACCTTCCTCATTGTTGCCAAACTTTAAGCCTCCCTTGCAGGTTTAAGTCAAAGGAAGGCCTCTTATGTTTTTTTTTAATCATTATTATTTTCTCTACTAATTTAAATGAAAACAACAATTATTCCCGAGACATCAGCCATACTGGGTTGATATCTTATTACAATTGATAAATATTTCAGCTCTATTTCAGCAATATTTCATTGCTAATGTTACTTTAATATTTCTTTCCCACAGCTTTTGCCATTTCTTTAGCTCAATATTGTATCCAAAATTTTGTGCCCACATTATCATAGCTTCCTTAACTTGTTCATCTTCCATTCTTCTATCCAAAAGAGAATTATACAATCTTTTAATCATTTTCTCATCTGATTTTAAAATCACATGGTCAAATGTTGTTAACTCCTTATAAAAACCCCACATTTTATAATCTTTACATATCTCGATTGTATTTGAACCTTATGCCACCAAGAAATATTAATTCCCTGCTCTTGTAGTTCTTGGTTCGGTTTCAATCCTCCATCATTATCCAGAATATTATCATATCTCACAATCATATCAAAATTTAATGCATTTGGATATACAAGATCTTCCATAGGCGAAAGCCATCTTGGTAATTTAGTGTACAGTTTTGTCTTTAGCTTTTAAAAACTAAAAAAATCAATCATCAATTACATCGGACGTACTGGGTCAGCCCCCTATAACATATCATTTTAACATTCTATAATCATATTCAAATCAATTTATAAAAATTTAAAGACATCTTTAAATCTAAGCCAAGTTCCGTTTCTCTAGCCAATCATAAAAAAGGTCCCAAGTTTGATAGAAGTCAGTATCTTCTTTCTCCTTCAGTAATAGAGTCAATCTGTCCATTTCTGCACAGTCCAGAATCTTTTTTAAAATCAGTTCCTTAGTGGGTGGTTCCTCACTCTTCCACTATTGAGCAAGCACAATCCTCGCCACTGTGATTAAATGTAGCATCAAATACATTTCTTGTTTGCTAATATTTTCCGGCATAATGCCTAACAAGAAAATTTCAGGTTTAAAAGCTAAGGGTTTTTGTAGCATTTCCTCAAGCCATTTATGTTTTTTAATCTAATACTTTTTCACATATTCACAGGTCCACCACATATGGTAAAAAGTATCCACATCATGTTTACATTTCCAACATCTGTTTGACATATTTGGAAACATCTTAACTAATCGTCCTCCTGAAGCATTTTTAATTTAATCCTTGGTTTCTTCTTTTTCCATACAAATCTCAAAATTTGGGTGTTTAGATCATCAAAAAATTTTTTATCAATTTTTATGGGAGTTGTTTGGAATAATAATAAAAACTTTGGTAATATATTCATTTTAACTGTTGCTATTCTTCCCAACAAAGATAATTGCAAATTAGCCCATTTTTCCAGGTCACTCTTAATTTCCCTAACTAGTTTATCATAGTTATCTTCTTTCAATGTAGTGCATTTAGCTGTAAGGAAATTTCCCAAATATTTAACCTTTTTAACAATTTGAAGATCTATTTGTTCCATCAGAGTTCCATCTCTGCTCCAATGTGAGATTTTTCACTAGCAATTTCGTCTTCTCTCTATTTATTTCCATCCCGGTAACGTCACCATATTCTTCTATCTTTTGTAGAAGTTTAGACATTGTTACCAAGGGTTCCTCAAGAATAAAAATTAAGTCATCTGCAAATGCTTGCAGTTTATAGCTTTCATCTCTAATTCTAGCGCCTTTAATTTCCATATCTTCTCTAATATTTCTATTTAACACTTCTAAAATCAGTATAAATAACAATGGTGATAAAGGACACCCTTGTCTTGTGCCCTTTTGAATATCTATAGTATTTGTAAGTTCTCCATTAATTATAATCCTGGCAGTCTGTTTTTGATAAATGCTTAATATTGCATTAATAAATTTTTCACCAAATTCCGTTTGTGCTAGTTGCTGTTTCATGAATTGCCAGTTAACATTATCAAAGGCCTTCTGTGCATCCAAAAAAAATAGTGCCATTGGTTTTTCAGAGTGAACCTACAAAATTTTGTAATCCACATTTAAAAGTGATATAGGTCTATAATTCTGGATCTATGTCAAGTCTTCTTTCGGTATTAAGGTAATATTTGCCTCAGTCCAAGTATTTTGTATTTTAGCATCTGACAATATCACGTTACATATATCCTTAAAAGGCATAGACAGGATTCCTTCAAAGGCTTTATAGAAATCTGCTGGTAGCCCATCCGGGCCCAGGGTTTTGTCATTCTTTTGTCTCTTAATTGCCTCAGTTACTTCTGTCATTGTTATTTCTTCATTTAATATTTTTTGGTATCTCTCCAGCAACTTTAGTAGATTTCCCTTTCGAATATACTCATTAACTTTTTCAGTTGGAATTTCTTTATTCTGGTACAGCTTTACAGAAAAGTCTTCCACTATTTTCTTAATTAACGTACTTTGTACCTGCAGTTGTCCTTCTCCACCCTTCAATTTATATATTAGCCTCTTTTCTCTTTCCTTCTTTAGTTTGTAAGCTAACCATCTCCCTGATTTATTAGCATTTTCAAAAAAGTTCTGTTTTGTCAATTTCATTTGTTTGGTAAGTTCATTTGTATCCAAGAGATTCAGTTTGTGTTTTAGGATATTCATTCGTGTCTTAAGGTCTTTTTTGGATGGGTCTTCCTGAAGCTCCTGTTCAAGCTTCGCCAATTCCTCTACTAGTTTAGATCGTTCCTGCTTTCCCATTTTATTTATTTTTGCTGAGTATGTTATTATCAGACCTCTAACATAGGCTTTAGTTGTATCCCAAACATTTTGCAAAGAGGTTTCTTCAGCTTTATTAACTTGGAAAAAAAAATCCATTTCCTTGTTTATTTCTTCTTTAAACTTTTTATCGTTTAATAGAGATTTATTGAATACCCATCTGGGTTTTTATTGTCCCTTTCGGTGTCATGGTTACAGGATTGTGATCTGCCCAGACATTTGTATCTATTTCAGCTTCTAACAAGTCTGGGACTAGGTCTGGGGTTATCCAAATCATATCAATTCTGGACCATGACCTTTGTCTATTCGAGTAAAAAGTGTACTTAGCAGAAGTTGTATTTTTGTGTCTCCAAGCATCTGTCAGTCTGAATTCTTCAAATATATTAAAACAAGACTTTGGAAGTATCCTCCTACCTTTCTTCTCCTTAGTCTCACTCTTGTGGTCTATTTTTTATCTACGATTGTGTTGACGTTTCCCATTAAGCACAAGTTTGATAATCCATTTGCAAAAGTAAAGTATGTAGTTTTTGGTAGAACGCTTCCTGG